TTGTCTTTTTATAGGGTAGCATTCCAGTTTTCAACATCAACAAAACCTATGCTCAGCTAGGATCCGATTTCCCAGGCCCCATTTTAGAAACAAGCATAGCTCAAATCCATGCCGAGCTTAAGAACATTCCATAACAAGTGACAGAAGCTTTGCAAACTATGGTCAGAAGGCATATTTCATGACCTTTAGCCTGAGAAACATCAGGTGGCTTGTTGCTTTGTCCCCAGAAGAGTGGTACATAAAAAAAAATCAAAAGGAGTGGTGGTGAGTGTTGGGGACTATGGCAGAAATCCTACAGTTGCAAAGATGTCTCCATAAAGAAGAAGGAAAGCCTTAAGACAGTCCTTTAGTCCAGTGGTTCCCAAAGTATGTTCCTCCCTCTATGGTTCTTAACCTTCTGGCCCTTTAAATACAGTTGCTCATGTTGTGACCCAACCATAAAATTCTTTTCGTTGCTACTTCATAACTGTAATGTTGCTACTGTTATGAATCGTAATGTAAATATCTGATATGCAGGATGGTCTTAGGCGACCCCTGTGAAATGGTTGTTCAATCACCAAAGGGGTCGCGACCCACAGGTTGAGAACCACTGTTCTATAAGGAATTCCTGTGTCTCTTTCAGATAAGCTGTTCTAGTCCCTCACAGATATACTGGTAGGTATTGGACTGGAATGTTCTCAGTCACAAATGTGTGAAAATATATTTTCAAGAAGATTACTATATAAACTTATTTCACTATTCCCACCAAAGACCAGTAATGCAGCCAAGAAAATTTGTCCTAATAGAAGTTTGAATAAAACTCATTTTTATTTATTTTTATTTTTGAAACTCATTTTCATACATGAGGTGTCAAGGTAGAAGAAAAAGAATAAATGACAGAACTTTTGATGTGTTTAAGTGCTTAATAATATTTAATGAATCATTTTATGAGATTCATTTTAAAAGTGTCTAATACATATTGCCAATCATAAGTACATAAATGAAGAAAAAGCAGCCTAGAATCTTTTGAATCTATATTTTTCACAACATACACATGCTCTTGCATTATAGTTTCTCCATAATATGGTGATTAGTAATTTATATGAAAAAATTAATATACAGTTATTTGTATACAAAGACAAAAGTACTGATTTTTGAGTTGTTTTTGCAAAATGGTTGGCTGGCTATCAAGGGCCAAACAGTGGAGGGATGTACACTGGCCCTCTGGAGGATAAAACTTATAACCTTGGCCCCATGTCTACAGTACACCTACCATTTAACATCTTAGTTCTGCTAAGCACCATTGCTCAAAAACACAGTCTCCTTCAAGTCTTCACTGAATAAAATTTGTTCTCAGCCAAAACACTCTCTGGAAGGAATGGGAATGGATTTTAATATTTTTAAAGCATTGAAATTTCGGGGGGGGGGTCCTCTGGAACTTTCTTAAGCTTAAAATCCATTTTTCCCTGTGAGGTGATCCACTTAGTAATCTCTGCTTAGGCAGGTCACTGACTACTCTTAGGCTAAAACTGGGTTCCATTTCTTTTTATAAAGCTCTTGTTATTTCTGTTGGGAGGGCTTGAATGCTGAAAGGGGGAAAGGGGAACTGGATAGCTCAGGGGCCTAGCTAATGTCATCTGATCTCACTTACCCTGAGGCTTTTTTGAATTTGGCTCCTCTTCACACAGTCTCAAAATATGCACCAGCTCTTCAACAGTCATTGACAAGTGGGCTCTGGAGTCAGACTGCCTGAGTTGGAAGCCAGGCTCCTCCAATAACTAGCTGTGAGGGTTTAAAAAGGGTACTTCATCTCTCTGTGCCTCAATTTCCTTGCCTATGAAATGGAGTTAATTAAGAACTTAGAATAATTTTTGACAAAATTAAATTAGATAATATATACAAAACACTTAGTCCAGAATATATAGCAAGTACTTAATAAGTTTTAGCTATTAAAAAATACCAACAAATGTTACAAAGCACGCAGGACCTTAAGATAACAGAATGGAATGGAGGAAAGGGGGATGGATTAAATAGGGGGCATAGAGTGTTGGTATAGAAATTAGTTCTGGGTAAAACGCAATCTAATAAATTCCTAGACTCTGGATGGACTAGGGTTATTTTCATGCAGTTTGGGGTCAAGAAAGAAAGAGAGAGAAAAATAAAACTTTGGAAAAGGAGAGGGGAAGTGATGGTTGTGGGGTGAAGGGAAAAGAAGTCCTGAAGTTGGAAAATAAGTGCCCTTGGGGGCCATCTATTTGCTTTCTGGTCTGCTGTCTGGACTGACCTTCTCCAAGTGGGCCACAAAAATCCCCATAATGAAAGTTCACAAAGCAAAATTTCCATGCCCCTCCATGCTTCCATTTTCATTGAAAATATTAATAACTTTAAAAATGTGAAGGTTTCCTGTCACATTCTGGTCAAACCTAATTGTGGCTAATCCCTATGGAGTCACGAAGCTGCTAGCCTCCCATAGAGCCTTGCAACTAGAGCCACTGATATAGCCTGGATTTTTTTTTTCCTGGTTTGGACTTGTCCCCTTAGACAGGCTAAAACAGTCTCTGCCATCCTCAGTCTGGGGCATTTCCCCACATCCTACCTTCAGCAAACCGCATTGTCAAAAAGAAAGTCTTAACTTATTAATATGTCTTCCATTTAGCAAAGAGGGTCTCAGAGTTCCTTTAAACGTTGTATTTCTTGATTCGATGTCTTAATTTCTAAAAAGTAGGTGTGTATATAAAAGTATAACTTTCTATTAACTATCTCACCTGCCTACCTGTAGATATGAAATGCTATTTTCAGACTCACATTTTGCAAGATCCATAAGAGTTTTACCAATCATCTAGGGCAGTGGTTCTCAACCTTGGCTGCACATTAGAATCACCTGGGAATCTTTTTAAAATGCTGATTTCTGGGCCTCATCCTCCAGAAATTGTTTCTTTGCTACTAATGTTGTGGCCCCACCCCATAACAAAGAAACAGAATTTCCAGAGGATGGGGCCCAGAAATGAGCATTTTAAAAAGATTCCCAGGTGATTCTAATGTGCAGCCAAGGTTGAGAACCACTGCTCTAGGGATTCTTAAACTGTGTTTTAAAGGGGCAAGGTTTTGTGCGGTGGAGTTGTCAAGATTTGAATTCTTGGAAATACGATTTCTGTATGGCTCACATCATATTTGAATTAACATAAGAATTTGATCCAGAACACCCGAATTTCTTTTTGTGGAGGGGTGGTAGTTGGTTTTCTCCACACCCATTAACAGGAATTTTTATTTATTTAGCGAGACCTGATTCCTCACACAGGCTGTGGTGATTACAGAGATTAATGAGTCTCAGAGTTTAAGGAATGTAAAGAGGTCAAGCTCGGAAGTGATAGAGATACAAAGTAAACAAAATCCACCAATATAGAGAAAAAGTTAGAAGCATGGGTCAGAAATGGTGAGCTCCGGGTCGTTGGGAAAAAATTATGTAGGTAAATCTTCCTAGAGGAGATAGAAATTTCTTAATAAAAAGGAAAGGAAAAGGAAGCGAACCCCCCGCATCACATTTCTACTCCCGAGTGGGAATGGTCTGTGAGCTCCAGGGAAAGTAAGCAGCTTCGGGACATTTTTCTAAAGTGCTCTTTGCAAGTGCAAGTGCTTGGAAATTGTTTAGTTTTACACACAGAATCCTTTTCCCATAAAGCCTTCAAAAGAAGCCTCACTTCTCAAGGGTGAATTGCGTTTAATCAGATTATTTAAACCGTGTCTCAGACCTCCTGCACTTTGTGGGAGAATGGAGGCGAACAGCCTGGGCGCCTGGAAACATTTTTGCAACAAATGAGCAAATGAATGAAACCCGGCCAGAAAGCTGGAGACCAGGAAGGACGCAGGGACTTTTTATGTGCATTGTGAGCGCGGGGAACTGCAAACTTAAGATCTGGGTAGCCTGGGCTTCAGGGACTCAGACAGGCTCTCTTAATCTCCAGCACCTGTAACAGGTGCGGTTCCGACTGAGTGGCCAGGGGCTGGTACCAACTAACTGGGTCCATAAGAGATGCGGCCCGCCTCAAGGCGATTTCACACTGGTCCTGTTCACACTGCAGTGCCCTGAGCTAGAGGCTTTAAAAGCCGAGCTGTGGTGGATTTGGTGCTCTCTATCCGCCTGCAAAGGGTCTCTCCTAGGTCTGATCCCTGTGCCATTGGCAAAACATTTCCTTATCTAATGATGAGTCTTTGCAATAAAAGGAGCAATGAAGTCAGAGGAGCAGAAAGAGGAAATAGACAACTAGAAAAGTTGCAAGCGTTTCCTAGGAAGATTGGGGCGCGGGCTGTTTGAACTGTGGCAGTGCTGTGGGGCCCAGACTGGGAGCTTTGCAGATTGGGACCGGTTTTCCAGGGCTGGCAGCTGCCTTGAAAAAGTTTCCTGTGGAACACTCTCCAGCGGGGGCGGGGGCGGGGGCGGCGGGGGTGGCGGGCGCAGCAGTGGACTTGGGAGGGAGCAGGAGGGCGGGGGAGGCCTTGAGGGGCTGGCTCGCAAACCGTTATAGTCCTTCAGCACCTCCCTCTTGCAGTACACCCCTCCCGCCCCCAGCCCTCCTCCCTGCCGCGCGCGGCTGCCCACCTGGGGACCTGACGCTGCACCAATCCCCTTCGAGCTGCTCAGGGGACAAGTGGGGGGGGCACCTCCTTGCACCGCCCCCCTCCCCACCCTGAAAGAGGCGCACTCTGCCCGGGCAGACACTGCGCTCTCGCCAGAGGAGCACTCCTCTAGTTTCTTGGTCTTCCAGACGGAAGCTCAGGCTCTTCTCTCACCTTAGCCAAACTTGCTTTCCCGCCTCTTAAACTCAGACTTCCCTCCACTCCTAGCTCTTTTCCCTCCACTTTCCCCTCTTTTATCTCCCACACCACAAATCCCCTATTCCTTTCCCCCACTCTTTCCCTTCCCCCTACCTCCCCTCCCCTTTCAACTCCTTTACTGCTTCCTCCTCAAACACCTAAAGTGTGCCTAGATTCGTCAGTCGCCCACTCCTGTTCCACTGGAAGCCATGGCGGGACCTGGGGGTTGGAGGGACAAGGAGGTCACAGATCTGGGCCACTTGCCGGTGAGTAGAAGAGACCCATCGCCCCCCAAATTGCTCTCTTCTTTGGGTTCTGAACATCCGGGAGGGCACCGACGTCCAAAACCTAGGCTAGGCTGTAATTTCCACAGGACCACTGGTGCGGGAGGGGACCCTGAGAGCAAGTTTTTGGAAAAGGCGCCCCCTGGACACCAGAGCAGCGCCAAACTCAAGGAAAGGCAAAGGTACCAGGGATTATGGAGGAGGGAGAATTGGCAGAGGTTATGCGGACCCTAAACAGTGGACGTTTTCTAAACGTGGCCCACGTTGTCTAGCGACTTTCCTGTACCTATCCAAGCTGCGCTCCAGGAGAGGCCAAAGAGGGCAACTTAGTGTGGCTTCCCAAAAGCACTCCTTTCTGTCACCCCGATGCCCCGTCGTGGTTTCCTTCTTGTTTTGCCAGAGAAGATGCCCACTCTCAGACTGACCTTTACTTGTAGGTGACAGCGGGCTAAAAAATTAAAGCTTTGGAGTTTCACTTCTCTTGCTTTCTAAAAGCACTTTGTAAAACCTTCTTACTCTGCCAGGGCACTGTTCCCGATTCAGTATTGTGGGAGAAAAGAACTCGACGCCTCTTGAAGAAGTGAATTCTGCACGCTGCAATTTAAAAACAAAAGTATTGCACTCACTAGCTAACCAGATTTTCTCATGGTTTTCGTTTGTGAATTCCTTTTTCCGATTGCTCAGCTTTCTTCCAAAGTTGTAATTGATTGGTGAGCTATTATCGCCATCGTTATTACCAGACTTATTATTTTAGCAGCACCGTTTATTTCATTGGCATCTGGTTTCTGGCAGATACTGGATCCCACCCAAATTCGTTTTTTAAGTTCTCTTTTTAGATTGGCATTTCACTCGCACCCTCTCTTGAATGCGAAGGGCCCCTGGATTCTGAAAGGGAATAAGCTTGCATGTGCTGGAATGATCCCCAGGCAACTGTAGTTCAGGCCTGCTTGCTTTGGGGAAAGCTAAATATTAACCTTGAGGTTATAGGACTATTCAAGGACGCAGTGCCTCAATTTTATTCATATTTGGCATTTAAAAATTGTCTCCTTGATGGTGGCAGACACTTGTCTCCCTCAAAAATAGGACATTCCCCCAAACCTCAGCTCTATAATTTTACACTATAATGGTGTGGAGCAGAAGGTGATGCACATGAATAACATTTTAGCAAATTGTTATTAGCCTTTAAATAAACATGCTGAATTACAAATATTAGCATTGTGGTTATTGGTGCAGCTTCATAAGACAAAGTCACAGAATTTTAAATCTTTTTTCCATCCTGCATGTACCCAGTGCATGCATGAATATGGAGGCTTCAATTGGTAGTTTCCTTCCTGAACAGAACTTTCATATTCCGACTAGATTTGCTCCCAAGAAAAGGTGTTAAACAAACGAATGAAATATAACCCTCCTCCAACATTTTCTGTGTATGGTGGGAGAAAGAGGAAAAAAAAAAAGCAAACTAGGGCAAATATGTGAAACTACACATGGGGCAACTGAAATAATCTCATTCTAAAATTGACCAAAGAGCGGAATAGGAAGGACCTCATGGAAATAATAGAGCAAGGAATTCCAAACCCAAGGAAAAAGAAGGAAAAAAATGTATTGCCACAAAAAGGGGGGCGGGTAGCTCAGACTAGCTGACCTGGTCATGGCCCCAGAACATAAGAACTTGGTGAGATTGGAGGAGATAAGGAGAAAGGCTGTAATCTTTACATTGCAGTCCAGTGGAATATTAGTTTTCTGAGGGTTAGTGGTGGTGTGGAGGGGGAAAAGACAAGGAATTGGTTTTTAATGTAGGAGAGGGATAAGACACAAAACCAAGCATTGATATTTGGCCTTATTTTATAGACTTCATGAAAGCCTCATAAAGTTCTTAACTTCTGACAATTTCTAAATTTTTATTATACAGGAGTAATTTTATAACTCATTTTGAAGGTCTCCATAATCTGAACAAGTTATGCATAATTATGCTCTCTCCTCAGACATCTACCTCTAAACCCTAAAAAATCTAGGAGAAAAGTAGCACCCCTTTTACAATTTCTTGTATGTCAAATTTTTAGAGATGTGAAAAGTTCACTGTTAATTTGGTCACTGGGTCATTGTTTTTTAGTGATTTAGGATTTCTTTTCATTAGACTTATTTCCTGAGTCTCTGAAGAAGGAATAAAAGTAAATGAAAAGGTCAAGCATTATCTAATTTAGCTCTTTGGAAATTTGCATTTTGATGAAAAGATGATAAAGTAAGAAAAAACCCTGTATGTGATGGGAACCCTTTCAATAATTATCCTCAATGGGACATATATGAAGGTTAGAAAGTTGGCACCTGTCACCACCAAGTATACCAATTTGGAAACTACCGTGTAATGGGGGGTGATTCAGACCTTAGAGTTTCACATTGATAAAAAAAAAAATCTTGCAGAGTATAGAATAATTAAATATAGATCTAGATTAAAATTGATATGTTATGTCCTTTGCTGGGCTGGCCAGCTAAATAACCATAGGACACAAAACCTTGAGAGAGGTCAAGCTTCTGTGCAAAATGGGATTTAAAGAAAGTGGTGGAAGGTTTTTTGTATTTTTGTTATTATATAGATATTATTTTAAAACTGAAAATAGTAAGCAAGAGTGAAAGCAGGAGAGGGGTGAGGGAATTGTATAACTTATTTTGCATGATACCCTACAGTTAGATACATACAGAGTCAACATAATAACCAGAAAAGGACAAGTCAACTATATTTTTGTCTGTTAATTATTGGGTGATGTAATTTTTTCTGATTGATTATTGAATAAATATCTCATATAGATGGCAAAACAAAAAAGTACAGAGACTTGTGGTTTGTGCTTTCTTTTTGAAAAAATTTCAACGCTATCTATATCTATATCTATATCTAATCTATAATCTATATCTATATCTATATCTATCTATGTGTGCATGTATTTTTTTCCACCTTGCTTGCCAGCAATACTTGAAGTTCTATCTATCTATCTATCTATCTATCTACCATCTATCATCATCTATCATCTATCTATCATCTTTTCTTCTTAGAATGCCTATGTCACTCAATCTTTGGGACTGGAAACTATTTCTTCATCTCCAAATCTGGCATGTCTTCACTATAATAGTCGCCTTTGCCTTATGTGTCCGGTATGGTAATGACATTCCTCATGGCTGTGGCCTTGGTATTTGACACTGCCATGTGTAGTCCTAATCTATATTGGGGTCAGGATTAGACAGGCCTGGAGGACAGTAGTGGCAGAGGTGATCTGAAATAGCACATGATCCAAGAACTGTATTTGAATTACATTAGGTTTATATTTAAATATAAATCCCAGCTCTCCCAGTCTTCCACAGCCCAGAACAAACCTGTTTTCCCCACTCAGTCATGAGAACCTTCCCACTTTATTAAGTCCCTTAGCCTCCTGGTTTGAGGCAGTTTTACTTTCTTGTCCACAAGTATTGAAACATTCAGGATAGCCTTCATTACATCTTCTAGAGCATCGCCCCAGCATGACACTGTATTTCTTCAATCTATTTTCTCAGTCTTATTTTCCAGTTTCTAGAACAGTGGATTTTATCTTAATGTACTAGAATGGTACATAAGAATCATCTGGGGATCTTAAAACTCATCCTCAGAGATTCCAATTTCATAATTCCATGGTAGGGACAAGGAATCTGTGCATTTTAAATAAAATTTTCTACATGATTCTCATGTAGTGAGAGTTTATGTAGTCCACAGTTTGTGAAACACTGGTCTAGAAGAAGAGATTATTTTTCTAAGTTTTCAACTTGAATTGCGAAGCCCATTTCTCCACCTATCTCTGAAACTTACTCTGGCACTTCCAGTGTTATATCTGCTATTTTCAGGTTCTCTCTCTATAAAGACTTTTCATAAAATTGCTATGTTTCATATTTAAAACAAAAGAAGGAAAACCTCAGCTGTTCATTCTAGGTACTGTGCAATCTCTTTCCTTCCTCTAGCTCTCTGACTACTGGAATGTGTTCACTAGGTCTGCTTCATTACTGCCCTAAATCAGAAATTTATTGTTACCCATAATGACCACTTAATGGTTCCCTTTTGTTCTTAATTTAATTTCTGCCTTATTTGGTTCTGTCAATCAGCTTCTGTTTCTGAGTCTCTTATATAACCAGTAAACAGTGCCGTCTAGTGGTCCTTTTTCTTCCTGCTACCCCCACCCCTGCCCTTAATAAAATTATCCATCAAAGTGCTTCTTCTTTCTTCTCTGCTTGAATTCAGAAGACAGAAACAAGTCTTCCAAATGCTAGGTGTCAGGGGTGCAAACAGTCCAGGACTTTTAAATTGTAATAGATAAATTACATAAATAGAAAAATCCAGCAAAGTATAAAGTATTTGCCCAACATTTTATGGTTAAAAATATTTTAATAATTTATTTTGAAAAAAATTACAAATTGGAGTTTCTTAATTACTTTTTTTTCACCAAATGGAACACCAAAGCATACCAAACCACCAAATAACCTCCAAATTGATATAGCAGTCATAGAAATAAAGATCTTTCCTCTTCTGCTTTTCTTATCTTGGCGTGGTAGAGCAGAAGAGAGGACCAAGTAATTATGGAGACCCCTCTGATATAGACCTTTTTAATTTTACAGTAGTAAATTAAAAAAAGAGATTCATTTTTAATGCTTCCTTCCTTTGCGGGCCCAGAATAAACTATTTTCTAATTATAATTAAGTGAAAAATTTGATATAAGAAAGTAAGTAATATTACCCTGGTAATTAAAATATTTCTTTTTCCCCCAGTTTGACAGTCATTTAGTCTTGAAAGATACTAGTATAAAGATGGGGAATGAAAAATATTCTATAAAACTAATGAAAAATACTCTTAGAATAGAGTAGAACATTATGCTGAGATGCCTTTAAGAACAAGAGAAAAACATTTAAAAACTTTTTTTTTATTAAATGTGAGCATGAAGAGAATTAAGATGTTTTGGTCATTTGTGAGCAAGACAATTTTTCTATACAACATGAGTATAAATAAAGTAAGACTCACAAGAATTCCACAGGCATTTTATTGTCCCTGTCCATTTCCTTGGTGCCTTTTTTTGAGTAATTAGATGCCTGAATTCAAAATTTATGAGCAAGGTACTTATGTCATTGAGAGGTAAAAAAAAGGGGTGGATTACATAAATTTAAGATATTTTCAAAGATACAGAAAATAAAGTTCAGCTAAAATGCAGCCTTAACTATAACAAAGAATGGTTTTCCAATAGTAATCAGTTAATATATTTGATTTTTTTGACAGATGGCCCAATGCTCTTTCTCTATAATTGATAATTTCTAATATAAATCCCTCATTGATATCCTTCAAAGAAATATGCTAAAGTAATAAAATCTTCAAGTCAAACCCTAGCAACTCCTCTGTTGGTTAACTTTTTTCCATAAAAATTTCAGTGAGTTATAACAAGAGTGATATGCTTAATATCATGGCCACTATAACAATATACATTTACTTCTCTTGAATCCTCAAAATTAATATTTCAAGAAACTTTTGAATTTTCATTGTGAGTATATTCCTTGAACTGTTTGTTTATAATGATACAGTGCATATTGTGACATTGATTTTGATGGTGACTTTAAGAAAGCAGGCTGCTGTTTTCTATAACAACAGTTTATCAATTCAGTGGAAACATCTGGATTTTAGAATGTTGGAATCTTAAATTTTTTCTTACAAGATTTTAGAGCTAGAGCTGGAAAATCACCTAACACAGCACCTTTATTTTATATATGTGAAAAGTAAGTCCTGAAGAAAGTAAATAACTTAGCCAGAGTCATATAGTTAATTAATGGCAGAGCTAGGGCTAAAACTCCAGTCTCCTGACTCTATCTAGTTGAATACTTCTTGACTGAAGTAATCCCATAATTGTGTCATTTTCCTATGATAGTTTTGCTAGATTATATAAATATCACACCAGTTTAAAGGAGTCTATAATTTCAGTATATACAGTGTATATATTCAATAGTTTTTCTATTTAGCTCACATTTGTCACAGTAATAAAAATGTTTTCAAACAATGTTAAACAAAGTTTGTTTTTATAAAAGGTGCTTTCTATAAGGCACGTGAATTTCCAATAATTTGCCAACACAGCTACCACTTAGTGTATAAACTGGCATATACTTATACCTCATATGAGTTTTGATAAAATAGCAAAATAAACTGCTAGACTAAAAGTTTAAATAGTGATAAAAATGTTTTGTGGTGAATGAGAAAGGAATATCCATATTGTAAGGTAAGGAAACAATGTTCAAGAAGCCTTAGGAATTTACCCATAAACACGTTATATTTTGTCTTCTATGATGTCATATTTAGGCTTAAGACAAAGAAAATATCAGTAATTTTGTGCCATGAAATGATATGCAAAGATTGGTTTAAAGACAAACAAAACCAACTTTGCCTAGTTTTTTTTAAAGTGATGAACTTTTAATGCCATAATCTTGCTTTGTGATTCATATTTAGAGATGATATTCTTTCTTAACAATTACTATTATATGCATAAGCTATCTAGATTTTATATCCAGTATGTATACATCATTGCTGTAATCTAAATATTCTGCCTGTCTGATTAGTACTAAAAAATGGATATTAAAAGAGCATTTCAATTGCAAATAAATGAACTTATTTTTTTAATATTCTAATTATATTAAGACATGTACCTCAACTACACATAAAGGTATGCATTTTACAGTTTAATGATAATTAATATACAGTTACTGTTTCTTTTTTATAAATGACTACACTTATAACAGGGAGATTATGACATGTTTATTTATTTATTTATTTATTTATTTATTTAGGTGAATGACACTTTGGTTTTTCCCATTCTATGGGATCAAGGCAGATTGGAAATACCATTCTTGATAGTTGAATTCTTGCCTATTTTTCCATGAAGATTGACAATTTTTGTTCAACATGTTTTCAGGATCCAACTGGAATATTTTCACTGGATAAAACCATTGGCCTTGGTACTTATGGCAGAATCTATTTGGTAAGTGGAAACAGATTACATATTCATTCTTACTTTCCTAATAACAGCAGTGATTGCAAGGCAAAACCCTACACTTCAAGTCAAATAATACAAAACACATTTCATTTCAAGAAATGACTCAATTAAGATAGCTCAGTGACACCTGTGACAACTATTACAAAAGGAATGGATTTTCAATCTAGAATGAACCAGCCAAGCAAACATAAGATGTAAAAAATTATTAGCAGAGAATTGATGAAATCACCAATAGAAAAGGAAACTAATTAAAAGAAGATGTACCCAAATAAAAATATCACTTGTTTTATATTATACCTCCATACCATTCTAATTACTCACATTCGAAATTTTCAACTGAATGTTTACAAAAAGGAAAATGTCCATAGCATTCAATATCATACAGTGTACATGAGTGTGCACATGTGTGTGACAGGGTTTGCCAAAGAATCTAAGAAAAAAAATTCTGCACTTATTTAGTAATTATTTGTTGAGCACAAAGTATGTGCCAGGTACTGTGATAGTCTCTGGTGCCTGTTCTTCTGTGGCTTATGGTCTAAAAATGTGTAAGTGATTAAATGTGAGTATGTGTATGGTGGGTTGGAGAAGCACATATATAAGTAAGCACACAAATAAATTACTGTGTAATTGCAGTTGTAATTTATTTATGTAAGAAAATTCCTAGTGATATAAGAGCATCCAACGGGAGAGCTTATTTTAGATTTAAGGGTAAGAATTGGCATCCTTGGGGAGGTGCTAGGTAAACTGATACCAGCAGAAAAAATATGAGATAACCAAACAAAAGCCAGGTTTATGCATTCTAAACAGAAGCAGGACAGTGTTAGAGACTGGGTTGGAGTTGGGGGTGCTTTAGTGGCCCTATCACCTTGATCAGATGCCCTTCCCCCACTCTCTAATATGATGAATACACATTTTATCAATCTTATGTAAGTTTCTGTACAAATGCAGTATTCTTCTTTTCCATGGCCTGTCCATCAAAAAATCATATCACTGCTCCTAGGCTGATCCTTACTCTAGGCTGTGTAGAGGTGTATAGGTCCAGAAGAAGGGACTTCCTTCTAGTTCAGACAAGGGTGTCTTATACTTGCCAAGTCTTATACCTTTAGGGCTGCAGCTTCCCAGAAAAAGTTTCTTTTTTAAATGTATCTACCCAGGTTGGGATAGAGGGTGTCTTTAAAATTTGCACAAAAGTGCTGGTAGCATAGAAGTTGAGTAGTAGAAAAAAAATGATTGTGGAATGATCCTAAAAGCAGAAAGAAACTTGATGAGTATTAGGAACAGAGAGAATGCCAATATTAATGACACAAGTTTTTTCAAACCATTTTGTCCTTCCCTATTAACAGAATCAGTGAACTATGAACAGTTATGTTACATGGATACAAATATATTGTTTACGGTACCTCAATTGCCTCTCAGACTAAATGATTAGTTAACATTTGTGTGATATAGGTGAATTTTGCCATATTGTGCATAAATACCTACACCTTATATAAGGAAGTTCCTCTTCTTTAAGGCACAGTTATAATCTCCATGTACCTATACACATTTTAATCCTGAGGTGTGTGTTGTGTTGTGTGTGTGTAGTGTGTGTGTATTCTTGTTTTTATTTGAAGGTATAGAGCTCTCTATGCCACCATATCTTAAGAATAAAAACCTCACTAATATAAGGTAAAAATTAAAGGTAAGATTAGATACCACAAAAATATGGTTTCTCATCATCAATCATCAGAACCATGATGCCATAAAAACAAGAAACATGGAGAGGGTAAAAAGGTAAGTTGTGCATGATAATTTTTAAAAACTAGAGCTTATTGAAGTATACAGTAGGTCTTCAAATAATGTTGTTTTGTTCAATGTTATTTCACTATAATGTTGATGAAATGCCATAGGAATTTAACTCTTGTTTATATCAATTAGCCTATGATAAAATTGGTTTCCATTATAGTACATCATTTCATCAGAAGTTGGAGAACCTATCAACATTAAGTGAGGACTTACTGCAGTTTGTAGTCAGAAAAATTTACTACTTTATGTGTACAGTTTTATGAGTTGGATACATTCAGTCATGTAACTACCACCAGAATGATTTTTTCAATATGCATCTTAAGTTACACAGTATAGACCTTCAAGTAATATTCTACTTGAAAGAATATCCAAGTTCCACTGAAACCTTTCATATATCAATCATAGTTATATTAAATTTTCTGTTTTGTACTTTGAATATCCAAGTTATCTGTAAGTCTGGTTATATTGATTACTTTGTTGAGAATGGGCTTTTTCCCTTGATTATTGTATCTCAGATTTTTTTGTTTGAATGCCAGACATTACATGTAGAACAGTATTTATGTCTTGAAATGGTCACTCTTGTTCTGTTAGGTCATTAATATAAGAGCTTGAGTCAATCTAATAATATGAGCTATGCTTTGGTTATGTTGTTGCTATGGTTACCTTCAGTTCACCACCAGCTTCAAATTTCTCTCTTACCTTGTGCTTAGCATGAGGGTTTGTTTGCTGAATGCCTTTTCTCAAGATTCCCACTCTATCCTCAGTTGTAGACCTTCCCTATGCATCTGTGCCTCAGAGATTCTCTCTCCATGTTCTTGTGCTTCCCCTAGTGCCATGGTCGGCAAACCGGGGCTCACGAGCCACATGCGGCTCTTTGGCCCCTTGAGTGTGGCTCTTCCACAAAATACCACGTGTGGGCGCACACATACAGTGCGATTGAAACTTTGTGGCCCACGCGCAGAAGTCGGTATTTTGTGGAAGAGCCACACTCAAGGGGCCAAAGAGCCGAATGTGGCTCACGAGCCGCGGTTTGCCGAGCCGCAGTTTGCGGACCACTGCATACTGCTATTGCTTTCATGCTAAGTGCTTCTAAGTCTAGTGGTGTGGGGCAGGGAAGTGTTCCCTGTTTCCCTGATTCAGCTTCAGTCATAGGCAATTCCTGTGTCTCTTGGTCATGGGAGTTTGGCTTTATTAGTTATTGTGACCTTCTGCTACTGGTAGGATACTTCTCAATGGTCTAGTCACAGTACTAATTCCTGACCCTCCCCAAGAGTAGAGGACTTGTATTTTTTTTTTACATTTTCCCCAGCTCTAGTAGGTTTTTTTCCTGCACCTTGGAAGTGAGGACAGGTTTGCTGCCCTTCTCCTGGAGCTTTTATTACTTGGTGGGAAAGGAATTGGACATGGTTGTATGCTTTTCTATTGCAATGGCTTCTGCTCTCCATCAGGTCATTTCTATAAATCCATGGAGAATAACCTGCAAGTGTGTATAAATTCTTCTTGTATCTGTGGCTCCCAAGGGTACTGTACTCTCATGTGAGCCCTTACTTGGTCTTCAGCAGTTCATAACAATTTAGCTGAATTGTTTGCACCAGGTTTTGTGCTCACCCTTTCTTCCCCCTATAGCAGTGGTTCTCAACCTGTGCGTCACGACCCCTTTGGCGGTCGAATGACCCTTTCACAGGGGTCGCCTAAGACCATCCTGCATATCAGATATTTACATTACGATTCATAACAGTAGCAACATTACAGTTATGAAGTAGCAACGAAAATAATTTTATGGTTGGGTCACAACATGAGGAACTGTATTTAAAGGGCTAGAAGGTTGATAACCACTGCCTATAGCTTCAGTTGATCCAGTGCTCTTGTCCCATCTCTCCTTGCAGATGCTTGTATTTCTTCAGATTTCAGGCTAGTTGGTTGCTTTGATACTTCTTTTTAGGCTCAGGATAAAATTATGATTTTGTAGATTATTCAGGTTTTTTTGTTGTTGGGGTGGGGGTTGTACTTTTTCTAGTTTTTTACATACACAGCAGGAGCCAGAAGTCCATGTCAATCCCTTGTAATTAGATCTTCATGAAGCATCTACCATATGCTAGGTCCTACACACATTTATAATTCCTAAGAATTTTATATGTACCTATTTAGCTCCAGTGATAAAGAACATTTTCTGCAATTAGATCTTCAAAGTATGCACCTCTGTGTTACAGAAGACAGATGATTACATACACTTTATTTACATTAAATAAGTTTTCCTTTCTCATTCATTGTTGTGACCTCTTTTTTTCTACCTCAAATTAATTTCCTTCTGTAAAAAGTTTTGGGATGGTGGGACTGTACATCATAACCTTCATGGGAAATAATTTTGAGAATGGAGAAAACACATTAAAAAAGGTTCATGTTCTTTATACCAATAATCCAACTTTTGGAAATATATGATAAACACCAAAAATATAGAAAAAGCATAAAGATATCCATTTTAGCAAAAAAGTAGTATATTATGGTAAAAAGTGCCTATGTTTGAACTAGGCAGACTGATTCAGTGCTTACTTGGCCATTAATTAGCTATGACCTTAAGCAAGTCACTTAACTTCTGAGTATAAATTTCCTTATTTACTAGTATAAACTGAGCTAAATTACTAGTATACCTACCTTACAATATTTGATAAAATTTAGAAACAATGCATAAAAAATGCCTTGCACATTGTAGATATCATTTAAAGGTAGCTATTGGTATCATTATTACTATTGCTATTATTTGTAAAAGGACAAATTCAGCAAAATCCTAAATAGTAAAAAAAAAAAAATAAGATGAAGTAAATTGCCTTATACTCAGTCAATATATCATTCTCTGAAAAACAACGTTTACGAAGATTCTAGCAACATAGAACTGTGCTTATGATGTTAAGTATTCCATACTGTATGTACACACTGTTTACAGTTATGTTAAAACATGCACATGAAAAATGATAAATAATGAGATACTGGATATGTTTATTCTATACTTTTATTGTCTGTAATGTTATATTATTTAAGTCAAGAACATATATATGGCCCAGCCACTGTAGTTGACCTATAAACTGGGAGGTCATGGTTCAATTCCTGGTCTGGGCACATGCCAGGGTTGCAAGCTCGATCCCCAGTGGGGAGGGTATGCAGAAAGCAGCCCATCAATGATTCGCTCTCATCATTGATGTTTG